TGGCGGTGGGACACAGGTTGCAGGAGTTGGGGGGGACGGAGGGAGAAGGTGGCTTTTCCAGCATGAGGGGGGCCTTGAAAGTAGACATCTAACCGAAAGTTAGACATCAAACAATGAAAGGTAATCAAAGCAAAAAAAAACATGGCATAAAGGTAATAAGAATGAATGGAACCTTCCATTTGGCAAAGGCTGTCCAGCTTAGCTATCCAAGAGGCCTTGTAATAACCACAACAGTGGTCTCATTTGCCAATCAACATGTCATTCTGGGCAAAACTCAAACCAGATTCAGGACCCTCACACTAAACGGTTCCAGTTGGCAAGGAAACAAGAGAGAATGCTTTGTCCTGCTAAAATTACAAGACTGTCACCACAGGACCCGCAGGAGATTGGGGACTTGCTGGTTTGCTCCTGACAATTTAGGAAGATGCCGAGCTGCATTGATTCCAGGAAGTAAGGTGTTAAGAAACAAAACAGAGCAAAAACAAACAAGCAATATATAGAAAACAAATAAAACAAAAAAACTCCACTCACTGCCATAGTCAGTTCCAACTCATAGCAACCCTACCGGACAGTGCAGAAGTGCCGCTATGGGTTTCTGAGACTGTAACCCTTTAATTTTTAAAAAAATGTTAATAAATCGTTTCATTGGGGGCGCTTACAGCTCTTATAACATTCCATACATCAATTGGATGAAGCACATCTGTACATTTGTTGCCATCATCAGTTCCAAAACATTTTCTTTCTACTTGAGCCCATGGTATCAGCTCCTCTTTCCCCCCCTCCCTTCACCCTCCCACCCTCAGGATCCCTTGATACTTTAGAAATTATTTTTATATTTTACACCGTTCACTGTGAAGACTGTAACTCTTTATGGGAGCAGAAAACCTCATCTTTCTCTCGCAGTGCAGCTGGTGGAATCAGACCACCCAACGGTTAACCCTATGCCACCAGGGCTCCCAAAAGGTTGTGTGCTCAGATACCATTTCCCCCAACAATTCACAATTTGTCTCCTCCCCCCTCCTCCTACCCCATAGCATTTCCAATGTTTGTTGAGAAGCAAGTGTCCACAAATAGGTGCCTGAGAACTACGAAAGGGCCTTCAATAAGTTTGTGGAAAGATGAAATTAAAAGCTTGTGGAAATTTTCAAACCACCTTTTTGAAGCCCACCCCCCAACCCCAAGTCTCTGACAAAAGGAGGTATTTCCATTCAGGGTGCTCAGACAACCAGAAAACTCCCCACGGCCAGCCCAGCCACTCATGTATACTGATTTCAGGTTCTAGGCCACATAGTCCACTTCCCCTGGTCTGATCCTCCTGGACCTAGAACCTAGGGAAGTGCCTCTCTTAACACTTCCCCAAACTCTTTTGGATGGAGTTCAGAAATAGTGGGAGTGAGGGGGGTGTTTCCCCTCCAGTGCAAAGAAGGCAACTACTACACTCAGCTCGCTCCAGGTCTTCCCACCCCTGTCTGTTCCACCTTCACCCACTGTCACTCCCCAACAGAGTCCCAGCAGGACTGTTAAGGAGCCTACTCAAGGATATTTCACTCTGCAAGGGCTCAGCGGCCAGGTGCTCTGAACACGCTTGTTAGTAATCTTTCATCAGCGGGGAAGATTCACTCCTACTGGGCTGAGGCCCGCGGTCTGGTTTATTTCAAGGCCAGCAGATAATGCATTGCCTACAGTAAACTCATAGATAGAAAAGAGCTTCAATGTGTTCAAAGCATCTGGTTATCACACTGCAAATCAAGTCAGGCAGTCTAACATGTTCCCGGGAGCACAGGAGATGGGGAGGAGGCAGTGAGGGTGGCTTTGCGTTGGGAGGCAAACCTGGTCTTAGTACCAAGTGAGGGTAGCTTCTTTCTCGGCTTTTTAAGATGCCTTATTTGGGCCCCCCACAAACTGTGTGGATGTTTTTCTCAGTGGCGCACGCATTTCTTATCACTGTGAGAACTGCTTCCTTGGCTGGTACTTTGACTGGGCATACCACCAGCCCATGTCCTAGAACAGTGGTTCGCAACCTTCCTAACACTGCGACTCTTTAATACAGTTCCTCATGTTGTGGTGACTCCACTCGCAACCATAACATTATTTTCATTGCTACTTCATGACTGTAATTTTTCTACTGTAATGAATCGGGTGACCGCAGTGAAAGGGTTATTCAACCCTCAGAGGGGTCACGACCCAGAGGTTGAGAATCGCTGCCCTAGAATCTCAGCGCTAGGAAGAACCTGCGAGAGAGCCACGCAAGCAAGGACACAGGGTCTTTTTCTCTTACATAACCTGTATGAGCCAGGGAGAATACAATCCACCCCCATCCCTACCCCATCCCCCACATGCACTTCAGTGCCTTGTTTCCATAGCTCTAAGAACACCACACAACTGGATCTTTTAAAAAGTCATCTCACCTCCCTTTAAGTTGCTCCCCAGAGACTGGAGTCCCCTCAGACTGGGGGACAGTGGCCACCTTTCATCTTCTCATTGTATCTCCTTTCCCTCCTTTCTTCTTTGACCCCCCCCTCCCCGTAAAATTTCTAGAAAGTCTGACCCACACTGAACACATGTCTCTGAGATGGCAGGCATTCAGTCAGCCCTTCCCGTCCTGTCACACACAGTTCTTAAGGTACTCAAGCAGAGGTCCTAGGATGCTCTCTGGGGCTCTTTTTCAGCCATCATTTGAAATACAAGGCTGGGGCCAAGGAGGCGGTGGGGTCCTCCTAACAACCCCCCTCCCTGCCCCATCCCCTTACCCCCATCCCCGGTCTAAAAAAAATCTCACAGATCTCTGATCTTTCAATTTTCCACTTTTTGCAACATCACTAGCAGCTTAACTCATCTCAAAAGTTGGCGTTCCCTCAAGCTCTTGTCGTTTCCATTCGAGGGGGCATATCTTCCTGGGGGCTTTGAAAGACCAATAGCATCCCACGAGATGGATGCTCCAAAGTGACTCCAGAGTGGTGTGTCTTTAAAGGGGGGTACCACGAACTACCTCCAAAGGTCTGCCCACCTTCTGGGCCCCAGCATCCTGCCCGCCGCAGGGAAGCGGCTACAGGTCCCCTTCCGGAGCAGGGCTGGCACCTGCCTGGGGGGCCCCTGGGCAGGCTGAGAGCTGACCCCCCCCTCCAGGGCCCTTGAGCCACTTCCCGGTTGCCCCTTTCGACCGAGGCGAGGGTCCAGCCGAAGCTGGCGCGTGTGGAGACCGCGCTGTGTGCCCGGGGACCCACCTGTGGAAGAAGAGCAGAATGGAGAGCATGGTTTGGTCGATGTTGCGGTTGCAGATGCCTTCGTTGATTAGATAGCAGGGGTCCCGCAGCACGGGCTCCAGCGAATCCTGCCGCATTATGTTGTTGAGCTTGTCGGTGTTGAGGTTCTCAAAGACCAGCTTCTCCTGCAGCTGCCGAAAGTTGCTCACGGTGGGGCTGCCCGGGGCTTTGTCCCCGGCGCTGTCTCCCTGGAGGCCGCTCCGGTGGGCCAGATCCAGGCAGCAGTTGCAGCAGTCGAGGCCGACAGGTGAGCGGCAGTCGGCCTTGGGCTGGGCCATCTTCTTCGGCTCCTGGGTCTCCGGGCCCTTAGGGTCGGGGGCGGCGGCGGCGGGCAGGTGCGCGCCCTCCGGGTTGGCCTGAGTGGGCTCCAGGGTGCCTGGCAAAAACGATCTGCAAAGGAGAAGAGTTGGCAATGAGCGCCCAAGGCGGCCCCCCTCTCTGCTCGGGCCCCCTTCTGGCTGGGCTGCCCCGGGTGCGACTAGAACAGCTGGACAAACAGCTCGGAGCGGATCCTTCG